TTCACCCCACTGCATGTACACGCCACGCTCTATTCATTCCACTGCATGTACACGCCATGCTCTATTCATTCCACTGCATGTACACGCCACACTATTCACCCCACTGCATGTACACGCTACGCTCTGTGTATTCACTGACACTGGGTTGCTTCCGCCTTCCGGCCCGGCCTTGTAGGTCCATCAGAGGCGATGTTGAAAGACTGAGCCCTTTCAGGAAAGGAGGGCTTGAGGGCCAGGCAGAAGCTCCTTGGTGGTATTTGAGGTGCTTCTAACACAAAAACCAAACAAGGACGCTGTGCGTGTCACCATCAGAATACTTCTCAAGGTGGTGCCATCTGGCCGGGTGTGGTTGCTCATGCCTGTCATCCCAGCACTTTGGAGGCCAAGGCGGGAAGACAGCTTGAGCCCTGGAGTTCAAGACCAGCCTAGGTAACAAAGTGAGACCTCATCGCTACAAAAAAGAAAAAGTCAGTCAGGTGTGGTGGTGCGTGCCTGGAGTCCCAGCCACTTGGGAGTCTGAGGCAGGAGGATTCCTTGAGTCCAGGAGGTCAAGGCTATAGTGAGCTGTGTTCGTGCCACTGTTCTCCAGCCTGGAGGCCAGAGCAAGACCCTGTCTCAAAAAAAGAAAAAAAAAAAAGAAAAGATGAAAAGATGCTTGCAGTGTGACCCTCATATTCTGCCCTGCTTGGCACCTGAGCTGGGCAGGACATTGACCCAGAAACCCCTGGCCTCCCTGTGGGCTCGGTGGTCTTCTCGTTTTCCTTGCAGGCTTGGAGTCCCGATTTCAGAGCAAGTCTGGCTATCTGAGATACAGCTGTGAGAGCCGGATCCGGAGCTACCTGAGAGAGGTGAGCCCGTGTGAGGGTTGGGTATGCTGGACGGGTTTTTGAAGCCAGGCTCCGTGGGCTCTGGAAGCTTCTTGGCCTCACGACGAGCCGTGGGTAGGCCCACACTCTGTGCTTGCATGGATCTGGTGGGGCTGCTCTGGTCGGGGAAGCCAGCATGTGGACCCCATGCTGCGAGGAGCACTGGCCTCACTGACTTGTTGGCTCTTTCCCCCGCCCGGTCAGCGCCGGACTTCCCTTCTCGGTGGGATGCTCACACCTGCCAGGGCAGCTGCCCCGGGGTTGGGGCTGCTGTTGCCCATGGCAGGGCAGCATTTCCCCTGCAGCATTGCGTGTTTCGAGTAAAACTGACCTTTGAATATCTTCACGTGTCAGGCAGTTCACTTCTGAAATGCACGTGTCCCAGGCAGCCCCTTGTCTCTGTCCGCCCTTCGCTCTGCCACATCCCTCCACAGCTGGTCAGTGCCTTCTGTGTCCCGGCCGGCTCATTCATTTCCCTCCCGTGGTGCCGCCCAGGCATCTGACCTGAGACCTGGAAATGGCGAGGGGCGTTCCCTGCACCAGATGCTTTGAGTTATTGCTGGGTCTGAGCCCTGCCTTTTAAAACAGACCAGCCCCTCCTTTTCCAGGACATGACACGAAGATCAATGCAGATTTGAGCGTCAAAGCTCTCAGTGGGAACTGCTCTTTGCCTTCACGGAGAATTCAGCCTTCTGGTCCATTGCCTGGGCCTGATCGCCCTTCTGCTTCCTTTGAACAAAGAAATAGACCGAGATGACAAATGAGAGCAGAGTGGAGAGTGGGGCCTGTCTCTAGTGGTGGAGGTGGCCCTGGTTTGGGCTGGATGTGGTGGCTCATGCCTGTAATCCCAGCACTTTGGGAGGCCAAGGCAGGCGGATCACTTGAGGCCAGGAGTTTGAGATCAGCCTGCCTAACATAGTGAAATCCCGTCTTTACTAAAAAAAAAACAACAAAAAATTAGCTGAGTATGGTAGTATATGCCTGTAATCCCAGCTACCTGGGAGGCTGAGGCAGGAGAATTGCTTGAACCCTGGAGTCAGATGTTGCCGTGAGCTAAGATCACGCCACTGGAGTCCAGCCTGGGCAGCAGAGTGAGACACTGTCTCAAAAACAAAAACAAAAAAAACCAGGAAAGAAGTGTCCCTGTTCTGGGGTGTGGTTGGTTGTGGGGCCTTGTGTCCCACTGTGTTGGCTCTGCACAGCTCTCTTCATGGGGGCCAGCACCCATGGAGTCTTTTCACCTGAGCTCGAGCTCACTGGGGTTGGGGAGGGGAACAGTGGTGGCTACTGCCTGCCTCCCCTTCTCCCCCCCGGGGTTCTTTCTGGGCAGCAGTGATGAACATCAGGGCAGACGGGAGAGGATTCCCAGAGCCTGAGTCGTCATTTGCCCAACTGTGACCAAGGTCAGCAGGTGCTAGCAGGGATCTGAGGATCTAAGCAGCATGCTACAGGTGTAAATCACCCTGTCACCTATATTCCTGTCACCTGCCACCCTGTCACCTGTCACCCATCACGTGCCACCCTGTCACCTGTCATCCTGTCACCTGCCACCCTGTCACCCAACACGCTGCCATCCCCCACCCTGTCTCCCGACATGCTGCCATCTGCCACCCATCATCCACTACCCGGCCCTTCTCATGAGCCCATCCTTGGTCTGCAGACCTCTCCACCTTCCTCCCAAAGGTAGAGCCAGCTCTGCCCTCATTTCCATCCATCCCATCTGAATGTGGGTTTTGTCATCACGTAGCATGCCACACCATGCCACGCCACGCCACGCCACGCCATGGTACATACTTGGAGGGTGCTGTGGAGACCCCTGTGAGGGGTGTCCTGTCCCAGTGCTGCCCGTGTGGTTGACCCCTGTGCCCTCAGCCCACCCCCTCTCTGCGGCACAATTGCTGATGCTCCGCCGCACGTCCCGTGTTTTTGTGCGTCTCCTAGAGGTCCTGTTGACTGTCCACATTCCCTTGCATTTCCCAGCCTGCTCCCTGCAGCAGAGCTAGCCAATCCTGACGCTCTTCCCTGCAGGTGTAATCTTCCATGGACCACTGCCCACCTAACCAGGGTGGGACGGCTGTGGCTGCCTGACTTTATTATCTCATCTTTTTTTTTTTTTTTTCATTTTATTTGAGACAGAGTCTCACTCTGTTGCCCAGGCTGGAGTATGGTGGTGCGATCTTGGCTCACTGCAGCTTCCATCTTCCCGGTTCAAGCATTCCTCCTGCCTCAGCCTCCTGAGTAGCTGGGATTACGGGCATGTGCCACCATGCCTAGCTAATTTTTTGTAGCTTTAGTAGAAACATTGTTTTACCTTGTTGGCCAGGCTGGTCTCAAACTCCTGACCTCAAGGGATCTGCCAGCCTCGGCCTCCCAGAATGCTGTGATTACAGGCGTGAGCCACCGCGCCTGGCCTGTTATCTCACCTAAGTCTTCCCCAGCCTGGGGGCTGATGTTGTTCCCTCCATTTCACAGGTCAGAGTCTCCCAGGGTGGGACAGCCCAGCAGGGGCCAGGAAGCCACATGAACTCAGACCCTCTGACCTTAGGACTGGGCTTGGGCAGGGTCTCGGAGGGCCATGGAGTGGGATGGATTGAGAGCTGGTGCGGGTTTCAGGGTGCCGTGTGCCAGGCTCAGCGCCCTTCCTTGGTTCCTCCAGGTGAGCTCCTACCCCTCCACAGTGGGTGTGGAGGCTCAGGAGGAATTCCTGCGGGTCCTCGACTCCATGTGCCAGAAGCTCCGGTCTGTGCAGTACAACGGTAGCTACTTCGACAGAGGAGCCAAGGGTGGCAGCCGTCTCTGCACGCCGGAAGGCTGGTTCTCCTGCCAGGTGAGCTGTGTGCCTTTTATCCTGGGGTCACCAGGCTGGCCTGCAGAGCGCAGCCCGCCTGGGGCGAGGCGGGAGGGGACCTTCAGTCCTTGGCCTGCCTGGGCAAAGCCTTGTGAAGAGATGCAGCCTTCACATTCCTGGGGAGGGTGGCAGGGTCTCAGCCAGTGCCTCTCAAGCTCCAGTGCACACAGGCGTCCCTGGGGAGCCCGAAAAGGGCTCCAGGGCCCCGTCCAGGGCGTGTCTCCATAGGGCTGGGCAGTGTCTCAGTCAGCTCTGGCTGCCATAACAGATGACACTGGCTGGAACAGCAGCCGTTACTGCTCATGGTTCTGGAGGCTGGAAGACAGGCCCACGCTCCCCCGCTGCCTTCCCATGTGTCCCTTCTGCACCATGCAGGGGTCCTGTAGCCTCTAGTGGTGATGCTTCTGTGTCTCTGGCGAGTCCTGGGCACACCCTGGCTCCATGGTGTGGGAAGCAACTTGAGGCGCCTCTCGGCGTTTGCAAACTGCAGTTGTGATTCCATTAAGGTCCCCTGATGCCCATGATGTTCTGAGTGCCACTCAGTGGGTCTGGAAGCAGGGCGGGTGGTGGGCGTGGCTTCTTCCTAGCGGACAAGGCTCCTTGCTGCTACTGCCAGTTAGTTCCTTCTGGGGTGATGGCCTCTGACCATAAAAACACATCTTCCAAGTTGGCTTAACATTTAGACTTTGCAGTGCAGTCGCTCACCGCTCACTGAGTACTTGCCTTACGCCTGGCACTGTGTAAGGGGCTGGGACACAAAGAGGAAAAACCCTTCATCCCTGACGGCAGGGTGAGTCCCGCACACTGGAAGGTGAAAGATGTGAGAGCCAGGCAGAGGAGGCCGCGGGGCTGCAGGAGTGTCCTGGGTGCGAGGGCTGGGGTGGGGCTTTAGAGCGGGTTGACTGATGGGTGGGGAGCAAAAGTGGGCTGGGAGGGGCCAAGCAGCCGGGGATGGCAGTGGGACCCAGTGGGCTCTGCTCGGGAGGCTGCGAGTCCCTGGCATGATGGGGGCACAGAGTGAGGTGGGCACCGGGGCTCCGGGCCTGTGCAGTGCAGTTGTCTGTGCATGAATGATTGTGCTGAGTGCTGGGCTACAGACCACAGGGAAGAGGGAAGCCGTGGATTCGCACGTCGGTAAGGCCGCACTGCCTCCGCACTGGGATCACAGGGAAACATCAGGAAGCCTCGGGGAGTGGCTGGAAAGGGGGCAGCTGGTGCCTGGGTCCCTGCTTCTCACGTGCTGACCCTGCCCTGGGCAAGTCAGCACCTTCCTGGCCTCACTTCCCGTGAGGTGGAGGTGCTGGTGTGTGATCACAGGGGTAGCAGTGACAATAATTTCCTTGTCCTCCTTGGAAACTCAGAACATAATGTTAGGGGGGTAATGTGGGAAAAAGAAAGATCTGATTCCAAAGACAGAACTCTTCATCTCCCTAAGGCAGCACTCCATGGTGAGGCGCGTCTCAGTAAGATCACCTGACTTGGTGTGTGAGGCTGTTCTCGAATTGCTATAAAGAAATAGAGAGTGGGTCATTTATAAGAAAAGAAGTTTAATTGGCTCACGGTTCAGCAGGCTGTACAGGAAGCATGGCGGTGGCATCTGCTCGGCGTCCGGGGGGGTCCTCAGGAAACTTACATGTGTGGTGGGGGGGGAGGTAGGAGCATGCATGTCTCAGGTGGTGGGGGCAGGAGCAAGCGTAAGAGTGAGGGGCGGGTGCGACACACGTTTAAACCAGAGCTCAGTAGGACTCACCGTGTTGAGGACTGCGCCGCGGGGATGGTGCTAAACCCTTCCTGAGAAATCCACCCCTGTGATCCATCACCTCCCACCAGGCCCCACCTCCCACACTGGGGACAACATTTCAACATGAGCTCTGGGTGGGCTGCATGTCCAAAGCATGTTGCCTGGTGATAGAGACGGCATAGGAGACTCACTTCTGGCTGGGTGTGGTGGCTCACGCCTGTAATCACAGCACTTTGGGAGGCTGAGGTGGGCGGATCACCAGGTCAAGAGATTGAGACCATCCCTTCCAACATGGTGAAACCCTGTCTCTACTAAAAATACAAAAATTAGCTGGGCGTGGTGGTGCGCACCTGTAGTCCCAGCTACTCAGGAAGCTGAGGCAGGAGAATCGCTTGAACCAGGGAGGTGGAGGTTGCAGTGAGCTAAGATCACGCCACTGCACTTTAGCCTGGAGCAAGGCTCTGTCTCAAAGAAAAAAACAAAAGGAGACTCACTTCCTGGCCTTCCCTTGCTCTCTTTTTGCCCCCAGGGTCCCTTTGACATGGACAGCTGCTTGTCGAGACACTCCATCAACCCCTACAGCAACAGGGAGAGCAGGATCCTCTTTGGTACCTGGAACCTGGATCACATGTAAGCTCACAGAGCAGGGCCAGACCTGAGAGCGCCTGCCGGGCCCTAGCCCTGCCACGGTGTTGCCTCCTTGGGTTTCAGGCGCTGCACCCGTGTTACAGCTCAGGGAAGGGGTGCCTGGTGGCAGCATGGGGTTCTACTGGGTGGGCACACACCATTCCTTCCACTGTCAGTACGGGTGCCTGACCCGGGGCCATACTTCCTGTCCCCTCTAGTGCTCCCTCTGGATGGAACTGGCGGGCAGCATCCTTTCCCAGAACACAGGGCCCAGCCCTCGGCTGTCAGAGGTTCTGAACCTCTGAGTTGGAACCAGGGTGAGCTCAGAAAGTGGGAGCTTCCGGTGTTATGATAGTAAGAGTGTTTTTCCCTTTTCCTTCTTTTAGAGAGGGAGTCTTGCTCTGTGGCCCAGGCGAAAGTGTAGTGGCAGGATCATGGCTCACAGAAGCCTTGAACTCCTGGCCTCAAGTGATCCTCCTGCCTCAGCCTCCTGAGTCGCTGGGACCACAGGTGCTCACCAGCAGGCCTGGCTGGCTTATTTTGTGGAACCAGCATGAGCAGAAGTCTCGGCGAGCCAGGAGCGTTTCCTACCCACACGAGCTCAATGGCTCTGGCAGATGGGCAGGATGGAAAACTTCATTCTTTTCATCCAGGACGCCTTCCTTGACTCTAACTGTAACCTTGCCGTTGCTTTTTGCAGACAGAAACCTTCAAATGCCTTTAAAATGGCTGTACAGAATGAGCATCCCCAATCTGAAAATCGGAAATCTGAAGTGCTCCAAAATCCAAAACTTTTTGACTACCAACATGACGCTCAAAGGAAATGCTCACTGGGGCATTTAGGATTTGGGATTTTTTTTTTTTTTTTAAGATGGCGTTTCCCTTTTGTTGCCCAGGCTGGAGTGCAATGGCGCAATCTCAGCTCACTGCAACCTCTGCCTCCTGGGTTCAAGCGATTGTCCTGCCTCAGCCTCCCGAGTAGCTGAGATTACAGGTGTGTGCCACCACGCCCGGCTCGTTTTGTATGTTTAGTAGAGATGGGGTCTCTCCATGTGGATCAGGCTGTTCTCAAACTCCCAGCCTCAGGTGATCCGCCCTCCTCGGCCTCCCATAGTGCTGGGATTACAGGTATGAGCCACCACTCCTGGCCATATTTAAGATTTTTTTAAGGATGGGGATGGTGCTAAACCCTTCCTGAGAAATCCACCCCTGTGATCCATCACCTCCCACCAGGCCCCACCTCCCACCAGGCCCCACCACCCACCAGGCCCCACCTCCCACACTGGGGACAAGGTTTCAACATGAGCTCTGGGTGGGTCCAATTAGTCAGCATAATGTAAATATTCCAAAATCCTAAAAAAATCCCAAATCCAAAACACTCTGGTCCCCAGGATTTCAGATGGGGATACTCAACCTTTTCAGAGTGCAATTTTTTTAAAGTGTGTAAAACATGTAGTCATAGCTGAGCTTTTACCCTGTCCATACTCAGCCCCTACGCCTTGTGCCAAGGGAAAACGCTCTTGTGAAAGGTATGATGCCCTTCAGAGCCCTGCCACTGCACCTTTACCACACGCGTGAGTTTAACACACACATACGTGGCGTCCCACGCTGTTGTCTGCAGATCCCTGCCACTGCACCTTTACCACACGCGTGAGTTTAACACACACATACGTGGTGTCCCACGCTGTCGTCTGCAGATCCTTGTCACTGCACCTTTACCACACGCGTGAGTTTAACACACACGTGGGTGGCGTCCCATGCTGTCGTCTGCAGATCCCTGTCACTGCACCTTTACCACACGCGTGAGTTTAACACACGTGTGTGGCGTCCACTCTCATCTGCAGTGTGCCTTTCATTGCACGCTCTGCTGATGGTGATGCGTGTAGATTTGTTTGGCACATTCATTTTAGCAGGTGCGAAACACTTCACTTTTTGAATAGGCTCTAATTTTAACATCTTTCCATACTGGTGGGCATTTAGGTTATTTCCAAGTTCTCATCATTATACAAGTCCCTGGGATGTATACTCTGTGGGATGAACCCATATGGTCTGGTTCCGTGCTATTTCAAGTGTGGTCACTTTAAAGCCTTAGCAACATCTGGGAGCTGGATGGGAATTCAGATCCTCAGGCCCCATCCAGGTGTGACATTGAGGTGTGTGTCCTAGCAGGGGCAAGATGGCTCAGTGTCTGAGCTTAAGTCCCTCTAGGGAGTGTGCTGGGCACTAATTACACTGCTGTCCCCTCTCTGAGCCTGGCCAGGCTGCTCTCCTGAGTGTCCCAGCCTCCACGCTCACCTGGGCCTGACTCCTCAGCCCAGCAGAATCCTGCCTCTGTGTGAGCTCACGTTGTCCCGGGTTCTAGGTGCAACTTGGTGTCATTGTACACTTCTGCATTTTCGCATCCTGATAGGTGAGACACAGATTCTCTTGCTCGAATTGGATTTTCCTGATGACTAGGAAGGTTGAGCTTCTCCTTCCATGTCTGTGGCCGCTTGTATCTTTGGTGTTCTCCTTTGCTCGTTCTGTCTTGGGCTGCGGTCTTATTTGTGGGCATGCTTTACACATTCTAGATATGTTAATTCTATGATATCTTTTATCACAAGTTTTATTTATGCATTTATTTTTTGAAATGGAGTCTTGTTGTGTCGCCCAGGCTGGAGTGCAGTGGCACCATCTCAGCTCACTGCCACCTCTGCCTCCCCGGTTCAAGCGATTCTCCTGCCTCAGCCTCCCGAGTATCTGGGATTACAGGCGTGCACCACCACACCTGGCTAATTTTTGTATTTCTTTAGTAGACACAGGGTTTTGCCATGTTGGCCAAACTGGTCTCAAACTTCTGACCTCAGGTGATCTTCCCAGCTCGGCTTCCCAAAGTGCTGGGATTATAGGGATGAGCCACCGCGCCCGGCCCACAACAAGTTGTAAACGGTATTGTGCTCAGATGTTCCCTTTGTGTGTTAGGAAATCCTGCCCTGCCCTGTTTATCCTGAAGAGATTCTCCTACTCTCTTCTCTGCTGCTTTGCTGGACCCTTGCGATACGCACCAAGTACCCAGAGATGTTTCCTCCCAGCCGTGTCAACGCTCTTGTCCTTTTCAAGACCATCATGGGTGGGGACGTCAATCTAGGGGACACAACCAGCATTTACAGAATGAAATAGGCCATCCTAGAACAGAGCACAGATGAAAACAGCAGAAGGCACAGCGTGCCTTCATGTTTCATGAAGTGTGTGTTGGGGTTATATTTTCTCTTACTCTTCCTAAATATGAATACTTACACACAGATGAGTGCGTTGGGTTTTCATTAAAAATGTAGTAGTTTTTAGCACCGGTTATCGGAAAGTGGCAGAGACACTGGTCGGTTTGCCACAGGCCTGCCCTGGCATTTGTGGGGCTTGACACCATGTGCCACGTTTAAATATTTAAGAATCAAAAGCTAACAAACTATGAAATAAAATATGTGCTGTCTGCACCTGCACTTAGGTATCATCATGGCTGGGAAGGACTGAGAATTTGCAGGCCTCTTCCAGTTCTGGGACGTGCAGGGCAGTGGAGCCCAACCATGGCCTGCCACCTCAGCACCACCTCACGCCCGGGGCCTGCACACAGAGCGTCCAGGCTTGGAACACCCTCCTCCCCGGGCTGAAGGGCGCAGGCCCTGGGGCTCAGCCTGTCTGAGGAGGATGGCCTGGTCCAGGGCCTGTGTAGCGCAGGGGCCCCCGGGCAGAAGGCTGCACTGGGAGTGCCCTTGTCAGCTCTGGGTGGGCCTGACTCCTCAGCCCAGCAGAATCCTGCCTGCAGTGGGAGGGCTGTGGTGGGCAGGGCTGGGAAAGCTCCTCTTTCCTGGAACCCTAGGGACGTTTCCCACAGGGTCCTCATGGCCCCTGTGAGCCCTGCCGTGGGGGAACCCTCCCTTCTGTCTCCTCACAGCTATCTCAAGCGATTTTCCTGCCTCAGCCTCCTCAGTAGCTGGGATTACAGGCACCTGCCAACACTCCTGGCTAATTTTTGTATTTTTGGTAGAAACGGGGTTTCACCATGTTGGCCAGGCTGGTCTCGAACTCCTGACCTCAAGTGATCCACCTGCCTTGGCCTCCCAAAGTGCTGGGATGACAGGTGTGAGCCGCCGCGCCTGGCTGGAATTGTTTTGAGAGGCATGATCATGGTTTTGTTTTTGATCCATGCAGTTTCCGGAAGTCATTTTAGTTTCCACACACTTTCATGTTTGTGTCCCGTGTTCCTGCCTGCCTCTTGTCGTGGTCAGTTTTTCTAACTGCCCAGGGTTTGTAGATGTTCACCGCGCTCAGCGCCTCAGCTCCGCTGTGCTGGATTTAGATTCTGTGCCGGCCTTCTCTCGGTCCTGCAGCGTTTCCACCCCTTTCCTTTGGCCCTTTATGCACCATTAGGTTTGGGGTTATCTCCTGTTAGCCAAGGGTAACGGCCTTTTGTCTTCATCTAACCTGAGACTCTGTCGTTCAGCCGCAGCCTGAACCTGCTGCAGGTGTTGTGACAGCAGCTGCCTCCGAGAATGTGACCCTGTGGGGTCCCTTGCTCTCAGCTGTGTCTCCAACGTGTAGGACAGAGTCTGGCCTGGTGGCCATTCTGTTGCCCAGGCTGGAGTGCAGTGGCACAACCTTGGCTCACTGCAACCCACACTTCTCAGGTTCAAGCAATTCTTGTGCCTCAGCCTCCCGCGTAGCTGGGATTACAGGTGCCTGCCACTACGCCCGGCTAATTTTTGTATTTTTAGTAGAGCAGGGTTTCACTATGTTGGCCAGACTGGTCTTGAGCTCCTGACTTCGTGATCCGCCCGCCTCAGCCTCCCCAAGTGCTGGAATGACAGTGTGAGCCGCCGCGCCCGGCCCGCTCAGTGACTCTCTGTTGGCCGTTGTGCTGAGTGAATACGTAGATTGGATCTGAGCTGCTTTACTCTGGGTTTCCTATTCACCCCGCCACGTCTTCACTTTCTTCTGGTATACTCTGTGCCATCTGTTGACTTACTTGAGTTTCCTTCTTTCCCTTGCCCATTACCCCACCCTTCCGTGGTTTGACATTCGTGGTGTTCCTAATGCTGGTTTTACTGGAAGAGGGCACTGCCACTGTCCTCTCTCCCGGGCCGGCCCCGTCGTGACCCTCTGCAATATTCTTCAG